TTGACTACCAACAGATCATCTAGAAAAGCATCAGGAGCTGTGGGACAAGCTCTTTTCCCTTTAAAAAGTGGATTTAACACAGGAAGATGGGGCGGGGAGGAGGATGTCTGTCGTAGAAACACATCATAGAATTGGGCTCAGAAGGGGTGCATGTGAATGCTAAGCAAATATCCTACCACGGGGGCAGGTGGGGGTGGGGAGCAGGAGGAGGGATGAGAGGGGGACCTGCGGTTGGTATGTAAAATGAATTTAAAAAAAATATCCTACCACTGAGTTATACTCCCAAGTCCTACCTATACAACTCTATTGCTACTGGATGAAGCAAAGAAAACAAAAGCTGGGTGAAAGAGAGGGAGAGAGAGACAGAGAGAAACAGGGTAAGGCCAGGGAGAGAGAGGAATGAGATCAGAAAGAGGGGGAGAGGGCAGAGTAGTCACATAAAAGGGGCACCTGCAGCCTGGTGGTGGTGGTGGTGGCGGCGGCGGCGGCGGCGACGGCGGCGGCGGCGGCGGCGGCACACGCCTTTAATCCCAGCACTCGGGAGGCAGAGGCCGGCGGATCTCTGTGAGTTTGAGGACAGCCTGGACTACAGAGTGAGTTCCAGGAAAAGTGCAAGGCTACACAGAGAAACCCTGTCTTGGGAAAAAGGTGGGGGGGCACCTGCAGGGTTATTAACAGGAGAGCTCAAACCAGTGCTTGGGTACCATCTCCAGAAAGTCTTTTCCGACCCTGTCCTCTAGCTTACTGCTGTAGCCTCTTCATCAGCCATCTATGGCTGCATAACAAATTAACCCGAGCGATCACAGTTTTTGTGCCTCAAGAGTCCAGGAACAGATTAGCTAAACCACGGGAACCCAGGAGGCTATAGGCTAAGCTGCTGCCCGCTGAAGACCCGACAGAGACAAACAGCTCTGCTGTCAGTGACTCATCACATGACTGTTGGTGGGCAGCCTCAGTTCTTCACCTGCTGAGTACCTTCCAACACGAAAGCCGGATTCCCCCTAGGAGAGACTGCTTCAAGAGAGATCAAGGAAGCTAAAATGCCTGGTACAGCTCTGTCTCCAGTGACTAGGTCACATTGTCCCTAATGCCAAGAAAAAAAGACTCAGTCTCTACCTTTTTTGTTTCAAGACAGAGTTTCTCTGTGTAGCTTTGCACCTTTCCTGAAACTCACTCTGTAGCCCAGGCTTGCCTCAAACTCACAGAGATCTGCCTGGCTCTGCCTCCTGAATGCTGGGATTAAAGAAAGGCATGCGCCACCACCTCCCGGCTTCAGCCTCTACCTTATAAAGAAGTCTCAAAGTACTTGTGGTCCTGTTTCAACCTGTCACATCCCTTACTCATCCTGCGCTGGTCAAAATGTTCTGCCTTCTGTTCTCTTGTGTGATAAAGTAGCAAATTGAATTTATAGCATAGCGTTTAACCTAGCAACCTTTTATACAATTCATAATGAAAATTGTTAGCAGAAACAGTTTGCATAAAAGCAGACAAGCAAGCATGGCTTAAGCAGCACACAGCAAACATTGTCCTAGATGAAAGAACCATTTTGCCCTAGAGAACCACACCTTTTAAAAAAAAATAGAGAGCTATAAAAATGTAACTCAGGAAAACTAAACTTGTTTAAAAAAAATGGCTACAAAGCAAAACATGTAATAGCAGAAACTCTTGTGAAAATTTGATGTGAACAAAACAACTGTATGATAGAAGTCACCGGCCAGAGATGGCTCAGGGGTTAAGAGTGCTTACTGCTCTAGAGGAGTACTGGACTTCAGTTCCTAGCACCCACCTCAATCTGCTCACAGCTTCCTGTAACTCCAGCCTAGAGGCCTCTGACACCACTGGCTTCCATGGCCCCAGACACAGGCATAATTAAAAGCAATAAACTCTTAAAAACAAACAAACAAATCTCTCTTGTTCACCCGGAAAAGTATTAATAGCGATGTGTATAGTCTTAGTAAATCAGCAAAAGAAGTAACAAAAATGGGGGATTATAATTGCAGAATAGAGAAAAATGATCAATTTAACGATACTTTGAAAACAACATCTCCACAATCAACTTTGTTAGAACAGTTCTGATTACAATCTTGGATTAGTTATCTGGAGCAAAACTGCTTGAGATTAGAACCCAGGTATCTAAGCGTCTCTGGAAGCAAAATATTTGCAACAGTACACTTCTTTATTTATTACGAATGTATTCATAAGCTTTAGGATAGAAGGGCTGTAGAGGAAAGGCTTTTTAAGGTTGACAGAAATTGTTAAAGAACAGATTGACAAGCCGGGCGGTGGTGACGCATGCCTTTAATCCCAGCACTTGGGAGGCAGAGCCAGGTGGATCTCTGTGAGTTCGAGGCCAGCCTGGACTACCAAGTGAGTTCCAGGAAAAGGCACAAAGCTACACAGAGAACCCCTGTCTCGAAAAACAAAAAAACAAAACAAAACCAAAAAAAAAAAAAAAAAAAAAAGAACAGATTGACAAGGAGGCTAGGGATGTAGCTCAGTGATAAAATGCTTGCCTAGCATGCATGGAGCCCCATGATCTACCCCCAGCACGATAAACAAAAGGAGAAATTGTTTTTTTAAATGAATGAATTTGACTACAGAAAGATGAATACAACCCAAAATGATGTAACCAATATTTAAAAGGGGAAGAAACTGGGTGTGGTTCCTCATATGAGTAATCCCAGCTCTTAGGAGGCTAAGGCAGAAGAGTTGCCAATACTATGAGGTCAGCCTGGGCTATTGTGAGTTCCAGAATAGCCTGGGGTACAGAGAAAGATCTTGTTTCAGGAAAAAAAAAAAAAAGACAAAGGCCAGAGAGACGGCTCTGTTGTTAAGAGTGCTCACTGCTCTTGCAGGGGAGCCAGATTCGGTTTCTAGCGGCTTACAACAGCCTGTAACTCCAGTTCCAGAAGACTGGATGCCCTCTTCTGGGCCTTGTGGGCTCCTGCATCCACTCACACATACATATTAAAAAAAAAAATCTTTAATAAAACCGAAGACAAGAGGGTAGAAGGAGGGAGGGGGGGGGTCTATGGATAGCATGAGGAGTGAGTAGAAAATTTCTTAATAAAGAAAAATAAAATAAAAAACTAAAATTAAATTAAATTAAAAAAAATAAAACCCAAGACAGAAAGAGAGAAAAAAAGAAAGAAAGGAAATAAATGGAAAAAATTGGAAAGTAACTAGATTTGGTCGACAGAGTTGAAATTTATATATAATATATAAATAAATATACAATGAAATAATTATGTATAATTAACTTGGTACTTAATTATAATTTATCTTTCACAAATCAATATGAAAAGATGAACACTAATTGAAAAATTAATGACCATTCTAATTGAAAAATAAGAAATTGATTTTATGAGGAAAAGGCAAATAAAATTATGAAGAAATCTTTAATTAAGTAGTTAGAAACTAAAAAATAAAATAAAAAATATATATTCTTACACATTACTATTGTGCATGAAGCTGATACAACCACTTTTCTTCCTCCCTTCCTTCCTTCCTTCCTTTCTTTCTTTTTTCTTTTGAGACAGGCTTTCTCTGTGGAGCCCTGCCTATTCTGATACTTGTCCTGTAGACCAGGTTGGCCTTGAACTCAGAGATTCAACTGTCTCAGCCTCCCAAGTGCTGGTATTAAGGGCGTGAACTACCATGTCCCGCTATTTTATAAAGCTAAAGAAAGGAATGACAGTAATTTCTATTCATAAATTTATCCACATCTGAGAATAATAAGTAAAGTAGGCACAGATGTAAGAGATGACTGTGTAAGGGTAGTCCTCATACCACACTACCCATAAAAATAAAATTGGAGAAATATCAAAATAATTTTTTTATGTTTTTTTCTTTTGTTTTTTGAGACAGGATAGTTTGACTAAAACATGGTTATAGTAAAAACAACACATTTACACAATAAAATTCTATTATGCATTAAATTGATGCTTCAGATAGATGTTTACTCTTATCAAAAGCTATTACCCTTTTTTTTTTCCTTCGAGACAGGGTTCCTCTGTGTAGTCCTGACTGTCCTGGAACTCACTCTGTAGATCAGGCTGGCCTCGAACTCACTGAGATCCACCTGCCGCTGCCTCCTGAGTGCTGGGATTAAAGGCATTCGCCACCATTGCCTGGCTATTATTATCTTTTCTTATGTGAAATTAAGTATATGGTATGACAGCATCTCTACCATAACTAGAAGGCTGTGTTCTAGATTTTTTTTCTTTCAGCAATTTATACAGAAGTCCTCTAAGTTGTACACACACACACACACACACACACACACACACACACACACACACACACACACTTACTGGGCAATACTTCAATACAGGTTGTAGTTCTTGAGCATCCACATCTCTGCTCCTGTTCTGGGTCCTTGCTTACCCCTACAGAATTAACCAAAACAGCTATGTGGCTCCTACAAAGTAAACAGTAAATCTCATTTTAAGCAAAATAAAAGGTTACACGATGCACAGGAAGAAGACCTGCCCGGGTGAGCGTCCATCTGTGCCAGTGAGGTGTTCACACACAAGGCTTGCTAGAGGAGAGAGATGACTGCACTTTGCACACATCCAAGCAATTCTGAGATTTTTCACTTTTATTTATGAATGAAGAAAATGTTCTCAGTTTTATTTACAAGTGGTATTTATTATTCTGAATGTGTTCGTTTTATTTAACCTTTAACAAATGTTTCACAATACCAGAAGAAATCTGCTTAAGCCGATTTAAAATGGATTAACAAAAGCACTTTCGGGATTTTCTTCTATTTTAAAGGAACCTCCTTAGTCTGGAAACAGGAAAGGGTCACCTCTGCACATCTTTAAACACACACACACACACACACACACACACACACACACACACACACACCCCGTTTTTTGTTGCCTTTCTTTTCTTGCCAATTTCAGCTTGTATTTTGAGCAGCCTAAAAGTGTAGTATTTCTCAAAGTTATCTAAAGCAAAGTATTTCTCAAAGTTATCTAATTTCTCCGAGTTACCTAAGTTCCATAAAGAGTATCATTTCAGACGGCAGACACTTTTGTCTTTTCAAATTCTCAGCGTTTTTCCTCTTCCAGTCTTTCCCAGACATTAAACAGGAAGTTACGTTTCTCTGATCTAGAAAATTAGGAGGAAGAGAACAGACGACGAATGGAAGTTAGGAGAAGGAAGGCTAATGTTTTGTTTCTGTTGATTCAAAAATCCTCCTGGCGTCCTGGCTTAAAGAGCAAACATCACAAAGAAGTTTAGTGTCGTTTTCCAGCTGGAAGGACAAAATGAACATTTCTGCTGATGGTTCAAAATCTATTTTAAAAGAGGACCACAAACACTTAAGCGTAGCTCTTCACTTTTGCTTTAAAGTTAAAAAAAGTTTTGTTTGTATTTTTAGACACTTTTATAAAAGAAGAAAAACTTAGCCCAGGTGCTATGACTTGGTTCAGCAGTCACATGCTAGAAACCATAACTAACCATTTCCATAGCAAACACGAAACATACATAATTGATTTTCGCTGTGTAATCCTGAAGGCAGCAGGGACCACTTTCATTTGTAACTAATAAGAAGTTAAGTCTCTTGGTTCATTTGCCAGAGCAATGGCCTCCAGATTTTGAGATTTCACAGAGCAATCAGGTGTTTTGAAAGAATGAATGAAGGAGGGGCTGTGATGATTTATTATATTACCCCCCCCCCCGTGCCCCACAATCCCCCCCCGCCCCCCCGTGGGCATCCCACACACAGGGAAATACGGTGGGCAGATGCAGCGGCAGGCTGGCAGGTGACCCACTCCACACGGGCGTGGCAGCAGCAACCCAGACGCTTCATCCGTGTGGAAATGGGAAATGGTTTATTATAATAGAGAGATAAAGAGAAGATAGGAAAGAAGAGAAAGAGAGAGAAGGGGGTGTCGAGGGGTGCAAACCTCGTGGGGGTGGAGGGAAAGAAGAGGAAAGAGGAAGAGGTGGAGTTTTTCCTTAAAAAGAGACTTACCTCAGGGCACAGGGTGGCGCCAAGGGGCGGGATCAGAATATTAGCAGGGCCCTCATCAATCTTTTCATTTTATGAAATGAGGACCACTGCAGTTCAGCCATTATCTACTGTTGTTTCATGAGAAATGGATATTTTAATGAGTCACTCATTTTTAACTCCCACGTAAGCTGGCTAAGTTTTTATTGTATGGAAATGTAAACAAACATGGGGGCAGTCTTTATGGAGCTGTGTAATTTTCAAGAGCTCCCTGAGCCTTGTAAGTTTTACTTGTTGATTTGTTTTATTTATTGGTAGTTTTGTTTGTTTGTTTGTTTTTCGAGACAGGTTTTCTCCGTGTTGTTTTGGTGCCTGTCCTGGATCTCGCTCTGTAGACCAGGCTGGCCTGGAACTCACAGAGATCCGCCTGGCTCTGCATCCCGAGTGCTGGGATTAAAGGCGTGCGCCACCACCGCCCCGCTATTGGTAGTGCCTTGAGACTTAGGAACCTCCTTCTCCTCTTAAGAAGGGAATGCTTCAATTAAGAAGAGAGAGCTACACAACACTTGTATGTTCTACTTCATGATCCTAGAATGCATGTTAACATATCTTTTGTTGTTGAGCTTTGATTTCATCTACACCTTCATTTATCCAACAAATAACTCTTATGACTTATTAGATATTAGGCATCGATGGAGAGCTTCGAGTAGACTAAGATCACCTCTGTCTTTGAGAAGAGGTGTGTAAGTGTGCATATGGCGATGCACATGGAGTGCACACCGTAAGAGAACGTTGGTGACAAAGGCCGAGGGCAGGTTAGAGGACCCACCATGGAAGAGCTGGCACTGAAGTTGAATATGGAAAGACGAAAGGATTTCAGTAGCTCACGGACTCTCCAAGGGCATCATTGAAATCAATCCAAGCAGCATGCCCTGGGATAGTTAAATAGCTCCAAAGTCCTGAGAATAGTTTGGCTTTCCATGTACAGATGAGTACTGAAGAAACACAAGGCAAAGACAAGCCGTTTTGTAGAGGGCCTGGAAGTCAAGGCACACATTCAGATCTTGGTAAGTAACAGGGCAAGGACAGTCCTAGGACTAGAAATCAGGAGCAGAAGTTGGGGCATCAGTGGTACTGTTCTCAGAGGACCTTGAGGAATTCTTATTCCGCCTGAGCCTTCATCAACCATCTATAAAACAAGGCTAATAGCCACACTACATGCTAGTTTATGAACTCACTGAAGCTTGCTGACTTTGAGTATTTTTGACTCTTCACACTTCAGGTTTAGGAAAATTCGTGGGCTAGCCTCTGCATTCAAAAGAGAGGAAGCAAGTGTGAAATTTTCAGGAATGCAAAAGAGTAGGAAGAAGTGAGAGATTGTTCTTTTAAGATGTATTCTCTCTCCCTCTGTGTGCAAGAGTGTTTGTGTGTGTGTGTGTGTGTGTGTGTGTGTGTGTACATATGAATGTGTGCACATGTGTGCATGGAGACCGGAAGAGCATCAGATCCCATAGGGGTGCTGAGGACTGAACTCCTGTCCTCTGCAAGAGCAACAGGAGCTCTTAACCACAGAGCCATTCTCTCCAGCTCTGAAGTGAGAGACATTTGAAATGCTTAGATGGAGCGACATGAGAGAGAGGGAGACAGGAGGACAGATGTCACATTTTAAATGAACAACTTATCATTAGCAGAATTTAGAGGCCAAGTGAGGGGGTGATTGTATTTTATTTTTAAAATCTTGTTGAATTTGAAGTTCTAGGGCTATTGTTGGATAAACACGTGCAGCATCTTTAAAAAGTCAAGACAGGGTTCAGGAGCTGAGAAGCACACACAAAACTGTCTGTGTAGGAAGAATGGACCATAGAGGTCATTGTGAAATACTGTGGGGTGGCATACACCTATAACCCCAGCAATGGGAGGTGGCACAGGACTGAGAGTTCAAGGCCAGCCTGGGCTATACCAAGAGACCCTGTTTCAAAATCCCACTACCCTAAAAGAGGTCACTGTGATGCCCAGGGAGTGAGAAAAAAGAAGGCAAACAAGATCCAGTCTTGAGCAACTCCTCGACTGAGCCGGAGAGCAAATGAAGAGGGTCAGAAGGGTGCCACAGAGGGAACTGAAAAGTGGGAGAACCAGGTGCTGACTGGAAGCCACAGAACCTGCCAAGAGACAGCCTTCTGAACAAAGGGGCCCTCATAAGGACTGCATGCCAAAGAGGCCGAAGGAGCGAGAGCACCAAGAGTCGCAACAAGGTATCGAGTGATGGCTTTGTGAGAACAGTCTGTAGTGTGACAAGAGCAAGAGATACATTTCCCAGATGGAGGGAAGTGTCAACTCACAGAGACGGTTAGTTATTTGGGGTACAGATGCAAATGAAGCAAAATGAAATAAAAGAAACCAAAAAAAGCCAGGCAGCCAAGGTGCATGCCTTTAATCCCAGCACTCGGGAGGCAGAGGCAGATGAATCTCAGTGAGTTCCAGGACAGCCAGAACTGTTACACAGAGAAACCCTGTCTCGAAAAACAAAAAAGCAACCAAAAAAAAAAAAAAAAAAAAAAAAGAATTGGTCCCCTCTTCTTTAATACTTTGTGTACCCATGAGTTGTCTAGGCTGTTCCACATAGTGTTTGTTCTGAAGTGCTGGAGGTCAAATCTTGAGCCTCTTACAGGCTAGGAGAGTGTATTACCACTGAGCTACATCTTCAGCTAACTAAAAATATGTCTATGTATACACACATAGAAGGTGCCGTCAGCCTAAGGTTGTTCCATATTTCCCTCCTTTATTCACCCATCTGATGCTTTGGCGATCTCTCAGTATGCTGCAGTGGGCCCTTATGTATTACATTTCTTACCCGATCAGTTCTCTACCAGTGGGCATTTTGGCTTGTATGGTTTTTTTGTTTTGTTTTTATTTGTTTGTTTGTTTGGTTTTTCAAGACAAGGTTTCTCTGTGTAGTTTTGGTGTCTGTCCTGGATATCGCTCTGTAGACCAGGCTGGCCTCGAACTCACAGAGATCTGCCTGGCTCTGCCTCCGGAGTGCTGGAATTAAAGTCGTGTGCCGCCACCACCACCTGGGAGCTTGTACCTTTTAAGTTGATTTAAAAAAAAAAAAAAAGAAAAGAAAAGAAAAGAAAAGAAAGAAAGAAAGAAAGAAAGAAAGAAAGAAAGAAAGAAAGAAAAAATCTTCCCAGCTGACTAGAAGCTGCTCTAGAATTCTAACCCCTGTTGACTTCTACAGGCTCTGCTGATGTGTTGACTAAACACCGCGGGGCTTCTGTATTTAATCAACAATAGTTGCATCCATCCCCCCACTCTCCAGAGTTCTTCCCTTTTGCATTTGATCTCTAGCTTTGCTGGAAGATCCTGTTTCCTCTCTATAACTTCCCTTGAACTTTCCGCACAATAAAGCTCGGTAGAAGTACAAAAGTAACTGAGGATTTAAAGGCTGAGTACCAGGCACTCACATGACCGATTTGACCTTCATTTGTAGTCTGGAAAGATACATAGACGCCATCTCCATGGTAACTGTTGACAGAGGAGGTACCTTAGATGCTGCCTGGGCCCACCTACTTTGATAGCAGTAGAAGTCTGAGAGCAAAGCACCTCTGACAATCGCACAGCACAAATACAGACCTGGGGTCTTACCTCTGAACACGCTGACCTGCCTTCAGTGGTGTTTAAAAATGATGACAGCTTTACGTATTACTGGGGACTCAGGAAAGGTGGTTTACCTAAGGAATAAATAAAGGAACAGTATGTTCTAGGACCCAAGAAAATCCCAGTGCTGGACCTGGGAACCTGGGGCCAGGTTTCTCCATTCTGTGCGGACACTGACTCATGGTGTGGTTCTGGGAAGTTATGTGGCCTCTGTGTGTTTCTGTCATTCCAGGCACACACTTGACATCATACCACACTAGAACTGTTGTCAGGACTGATGAGGTAATTCTTGTAAAAGCTTGTTAGTTCTTCAGATCACAGCCACAGCTGTATCTAAAAATAATACATGGTACAGATACCTGTCTCACACTGGCTTATTAGAGGCGGCTACATATCTAACCAAAGGCCATTGTTATTGTTATTGTCATTGATTAGTTAAGAATTCCCTCACATTCCTCTACCTGGTTAATGTGTGTGTGTGTGTGTGTGTGTGTGTGTGTGTGTGTGTGTGTGTGTGTGTGTGTGTCTGTGTGTCTGTGTGTGTACGCTCATGGTAGAACCCAGGGCCCTGTGAATATTGAATGATCTACCCTTGAGCTGTATCTCCAATCCCTATTCTTAACCTAGATGATTCCGTTTTCTTATTACAGTCTAGCTCCTAAGTTTCAACAACTTAACATCTTCTAATTACTTAAGCCTTCTGCTCAGTGGTTTTATCCACCTAATGAGGATAATAGGGCTGTGATGAGATTCAGTAAGTTAATATATGTAGAACACAGCCTGGTGCACAGAAGGCGTCCAGTGAGTGCTAGCTGCTATCACAGTAACTGAATGGATAGGCTAACACACACATACACCATTTAAAATAATATCAACTCTCTCCCCCTCCTTCCTGCCCCTCCCCTCTCCCTTTCTTTTGAAGAGAAGGGTCTTCTGTGGCCTGGGCTGATCTCAAGCTCACTACCAATCCCAGGATAACCTTGAACTCCTGATCTTCCTATCTCGACTTCCCAAGAGCTGAGATTCCTGGTGTGCACCAATGCTGGAGGTCAAATCCAGGGTGTCTTATATGCTAGGCAAGCCCTTTGTCTTCTGTGGGGGAAATAACAAGGCTTTTAACCTCTGGTGGCGCAGACAGTGTAAACAAACGGGGCTTTTTAGATCATACGGGCTCTGTGTGTCCATGTTTACTCATTAAGAATTTGATGTTACTGACTCCTCCCCCTTGCTCTCTCTCTCTCTCTCTCTCTCTCTCTCTCTCTCTCTCTCTCTCTCTCTCTCCTTCCTTGTTTTTGAGACAGGGTCTCATGTAGCTCAGGCTGGCCTTGAACTTATATGGTCTAGGATGGCATTGAACCTCTGATCCTCCTGTCTTAATCTCCTATACGCAGTGCTGGAATTACAGGCCCATGCCACCATGCCCCGCTTAGGAAGCTGCTTCTTCAGCTGTCTGGTTCAACACCGAATCCTCAGCACTTGGGAGCCCCATCAATACTGGCTGATGAGTGAATGAATAAACATAAATCTATTGAAAGGCTTGAGCAGAGGATGACCATAAGGAAAGAAGTCTGCTTGACATTTCAGGATTCCCAGGAAACCGGAAGGGAACAAGATAAAGAAGGAAGTGGTATATGCATGGGAATAAGAGCCCCTGATACTGAGACCCCAGACCTGAAGAACTAAAAGGCAGAAGGAAGCTCTGCAGCTGGACGAGCAGGCCCGAAGAAGCACCAAGCTTTGTCAGTTGTCTTCAGAAGGCAGAGGCGAGCCTTTCTTCTGGACAGTGATAGTCCACAGAGATAGCCAGCTTTCAAAAGGACCATTCTGAAGGTGTCACAAAGAACACCCTATTAGAGTGTCTGCCACCCTGAAAATGAATCCTCCTTCTTTGTACTCAGGGTGTTTCCCTGTTAATGGCAGCCTCCCTCTGTGACCCTGAGTCGTTTCACAGCCTCCCTGAAAGTAAAGGCTGTTCCTTGTTCGAGAGCTTCCCTCCAGCCTCATTCCTAAACACACTCCTTCTCAATCGGGGTCAGAGGAATACTATCCTCACTAAAGCGTCGCTGTTGAATCAAGGGACAAGTCAGAGCACCTAACTGTCTTTGTCTTCTTCTCTTCCTCGTGTAGTTTATTTCGGTTGAAACAGTTTGCAGTGAGATTCAACATTCTTTCATTGCGAACTCTGTCTGAGCACAGGGCTGTGCTAGACCATGGGCCACACAAAGGTGACTAGGTCTGGTTGCTTGCTGGCTTTGAGAATCTTCTATTTGCTAGGAGATTCCTATAATAACAGAAGTTGTATCTGAGGAACACTTTCTAACTTTTTTTTAGGTTATAGATTTCTCTTAACTTGATATATAGTTGAAATTGAATTTAAGAACATTAGCTATAACAAGTCTCTAAGACACCTTCTAAGTACCCCCACCCACATGTTTTTGCTGTGCCTTTTTATCTTATAACATGTACCATTTTTACACTATGTGCTGCTTATCTGTATATGTGCCAGTCACTATCCAGAGAGGGAGCAGGAGCCCAGAAAAATGAGGAGTAGAGACAGAAGCCCTGGGCTTGAATTTGAAGCTAGACCCTGATACAAAGGGACCCAGAAATCTTAGTCGTACCACTAGATCTCCGTGATCCTCAGTCCTACATCTAGAACGGGAAGATAATTAGTGTCCATTTCACCAGATAGACAGGGAAACTAGTTATCATGTGAATGTGCATGGACCACTAGTATTTATATGTTAATATGTTAATTTTACAAAGGACCCTGCCTATGAGAAAAACTATTCATATTAATTGAATTACAGAAAAAGTATACCAATCTCCCAATGGCATATTGTTATTAGTGGCATCCCCCGCCCCCTTCGAATTGTTAGCAGGGGCTTATCTGCAATGCCTTATTGGGCTCAGGGAGGAGTGTTTCTAGGGATTAAGCAGAATCAAAAGGGAGGGGTTTGCCAATGGAGATAGTAGGGTCCAAAGCTGCTCCCCTCATGTGTCATATGTCTCCCCTCTTAATGGCTGATAATAATGGGGAGGCCCTAGTTGTACAACGTAAGGTAATTTTGGGTTCAAACTGTGAGTGTGCCTTTGCTATCTCTGCAATTTAAGATGCTTTTCTGAGTCTTCGTTCTCTCATCTGTAAAACGAAAACAACACAGGATTATAGAATTAATATACCAGGTGCTAAAATACGATGTGAGGAATTAACAAGCTAACCAAACTCAGTGTTAACTACACTAACAGTCACCCTTTAACAGAGCAGCTCGCTACTGTGAGGGTGAACACAATATAGGTGCCAGAGATAGACGATGTTATCTGTGTGACTGACAGTGATTGGCATGCAATGTGATGGGAGTTATGATATAAAGGGATATACACTGCTCTGGAAACAGTCCGGGAGGCACCTATATGACAGCTCTGCTTGGGAAGTTGGCAGTTACTATCAGGAAGGCTTTCTGGTGCGAGTGGCTATTGTGGAGGGGCTGAAAGTCACAAGGACAGAGACCACAGTGACTGGACCGGTGCCCAGGTCTGAGAAATCTCCACCGGGGAATCGAGAGCGTTCTGACAAAACAAATCCATAGAAATCTACGAAAAATCATAAAACTGTGGGGTTTTTGTTTGTGAAACGATTTCTGCTTCTTTCTGTGAGGAAACAGAAGGCGCCGAAAAACTGTCCCCTCAGTTAGAAAACTTCGGTGGGGAGTATCAAGTTAAAAAAGTCTTGATATGAAAATAATACAGGTTTGGAGACTATAACCCTGACCTTCAACCCTGGTTAAACCCCGCGGGTGCCTTAACTCACAGCATCCCTCCCCGAGTTCGTGGTCAACCAGCTGTCACACCGATCTCTCTCGGGGTTACGGCAAGGACTCAACGGGTGGGCAAGGCAAGTTCGCAGCAAAACGCGTGGGACATAAGCAGCATTTGGAATAGATATCAGTTCTCTTGGCTGATACGCGTGTAGCTGGAGGGGAAAGCCTCTCTCCTCCCTTTCTCTCCTGCCCTCCTCCAGCAGTGTCAGCGGGCAGGAGCCCAGAGCCGTGGGGACTCCAGCGGGCACTCGCGTTGATTAATGGGTAGGGGCGCGGAGCCCGGCGCGGGCGGCGGCGAGGCTGGGCATGCTCAGTGCGC